AGGGGGGCAAGTCTCAGGAAGGCTGAGGGCAGTGAGAAGGGCAGGAGTCAGGACAGCAGAGGAGGGTGAGGGGTTGGGGGGCAGCAGGCACCAGGGGAGCTGATGGAGCAAGGGGAGGAGATATGGCAGCAGAGGGAAAAGGTAGAGGTTTATAAGATATTTATTAATAACTTGGGTGATACTTATTAATAACTTATTAGTAATTACTGTTTTTATTCTTATTAGAGGGCAGTGAGAAGGGCAGGAGTCAGGACAGCAGAGGAGGGTGAGGGGTTGGGGGGCAGCAGGCACCAGGGGAGCTGATGGAGCAAGGGGAGGAGATATGGCAGCAGAGGGAAAAGGTAGAGGTTTATAAGATATTTATTAATAACTTGGGTGATACTTATTAATAACTTATTAGTAATTACTGTTTTTATTCTTATTAGGAATTTATGCTATTAAAAAAACACTTTTTGAGGGGGAGGGTGGCAAGTCCCTTTTTTGTCTGGCGCGTAGGGTTTTCCATAATTTGTTGAGCCCTGGTTATACTGATGGCAGAATGGCAGCATGCCTCTCATAGCTCTTGTCTCTTCGATGCAGGAAGAAAGTATTGGATTTCTACCAGCGAGCATGTCTCTCAGGCTATTGTTCTGCCTTTTCCTACAAGCCAATGCACTGTGCCTTGTCCTCCCAGCTCAATGGCAAGTGCATAGAACTGGTGCAGGTCCCTGGACAGAATGCCATCTTCACATCCTGTGACCTTCCTGGGACTGTGCCCATCAAACAGAGCAGCAGGAGAAACAGCTGGAGCTCTGATGGTATGTCTCTCCCCTTCTCTTGGGGATGTAGGTCTCTAGTTTCTGGTCAGTCTAAAGCTGTAGCAGCTGTCTTCAAAGCATTTCTTATGTAAATATACCTACATTTGCAAGACAATAGTTAGACTTCAGAGTAGTCTAATTATTAGAGCAAAGGGGACTGAGTTCTGTTCCTGGCTTTGCATCTGTGCAATCTTATGCAAGTTACTTATGCTGGGTTTTTCCGTGGGGTCAGGAATTCCTTTTGGTTTCCTCAGAAGACCTGTGCCATTAATCCCTCTGTGCCTCGGTTCCCCATTCTGTAAAATACAGTAATATGGCCTCATGTGGGAGTTGGGATGCAAGATTAGCAAGTGTTTTGTTGTACAATTTCTCTTGCAACACCAAGATCCCTTACTGTATTCTGCAGTGAAATCATGTTAATAACAGCCAGATCTGGTAAAGGAAGCCTGTCAGTCTAAATCTATAACAGATCATTTTGGAGCCATTGCAGCATCCCCAGAGAGAACATGTTTAATCTAATGACTTGAGATCAGCTTAGTGATGAAAATGACTAGTCGAATCACTACTCAGCTAGTCGCTTCCCCCCACTTCCCACTGCCTCTGTATCAGAGGCACCAACTGCGGGGGGAAGGAGCCAGTGCTGGGGGGAGCTGGCTAAAAAGCCATTCCCCATAGCACTATCTCCGTGGGGAGTGTGATGGCGCGTTGGGGGTCCCCCGTCTCCTGCACCCCGAAATGGCACAAACAGACTCTACCAGCCAGTGGAATTGAGGGTGGGTTACTGCTCCTCCAGCACAGCGCAGCACAGATGTAATCTGGTCACAGGAACTGGGCTAGGATGCCTCAGGCCCCCTTGAGATGGGGGAGACTGGGCCCCTAAACTCCAGCTCCTCTCCCTAGGCTGTCTCATCCATGCAGCCCTGCCCCCCAGCCAGGGCAGCATTCCACCTTCCTTTGTTCCTCTCCATGGGGGGTGTCTGGTTTAACAAGTTTGGCATTACCTTTGCATAGTGAGGTTTTCCCTGCTGGGTCTTGCTCCAGACAGCAGGGGTCACCACAGCCCAGCAAGTACCCCCACTACGTCACAGGGAGGCATTGAAGAAACCACTCATGCGGGATCCTGACTGCTGTGCCTCTCCCTTTGAAATGTACAAGAGCTGCGGGTGGAGAGGCGCAGCAGTTGGGACCCACGCAAGCAGGGACTGCTTTGGTCTCCACTCGCGTGAGTTCCCCACTGCGCTTCTTCCTTTGTAATGTACAAGAGCCGCTCAACTACTCGATTCCATTGACTACCCAATTAGCAGATTAAGCTAAATTTAACATCCCTAGATCAGCTCCCCTTCAGTTTCATGGCTGTCAGCTTCCACCAGTCTTGCTGTGTTGTTTAAGCACAGTATGATGTCCTTAAAATGCATATGTATACATTAGGCAGCACATGTACTGTGCCCTCCCTACCCTTTCTTGAAACTAACTAGCAACCTTTGTTTTGTTTTTTTCCTTCCTATGCTGTGTATGTGTTTGCACTGTGTTCTTGGCTGCATGTTTGGGTCTTTAAAACTCCTTTTGTGACCATGTATGTTTGGGCACATGAGTGTCTTGTCACCCGTCCATCTGTACACGTGTGCTTGCATATTTCTGCACATATTGGTACTTGTCTCCACATGGTCATGTCTCATTATCTGTGTCCATGCGTGTCTCTGTGTGCATGCACGTGTGGGGGTTTGCGTCTCAATGTGATTGTGTATTGTTTGCATGCCTGAAGAAGGGATCGGGGAAGTGATAGAGAAGGAGGATTGTATCCAGGCTCTGAGTGGCCAGATCTTCATGGGAATGGTCTCGTCTCAGTACCAGGCCCGACTTGACATCGTCCGCCTCATTGATGGGCTGGTCAATGCCTGTATTCGTTTTGTCTATTTTTCCCTGGAAGATGAACTGAAGAGTAAGGTAGGCTACGTCTGCTCCCTTTCTAAACTTGCATGGTCCCTGCCTTGACTGGCTTAAGAGTTCATCCCAAATACAATCCGAGAGTAACCCTATCCAGCTGCCTAATTGGCGGTCTCAGTGGCACATGAAGGTCACAAGGCTTCTGTATCTGTTGGTCCCTGCATCAGCTCTGTAAAATCTTGTGTGCTGTCTCCTAGGTGTTTGCTGAGAAGATGGGGCTGGAGACTGGCTGGAACTGCCATATATCCTTAACGCCCAATGGAGATGTGCCTGGGTCGGAGATTCCTCCCTCTAGCCCCAGCCATGCAGGATCTTTGCATGATGACCTGAATCAGGGTGAGCGAACTGCCCTCTGGGAAAGGTGGTTGTAAGACTCGGGTGGAGAATGTCTGCCTGTAGGGGCAGTGATGTATGGTGAGCAAGATGGGATGCTTTGGTTGGGCTCCATGCTGCGCTGCTGCTTTGAAATGCCACGTGGAGCCAGGATCTTGGGCTCCACGTGGCATTTCAGCAGAACCTGGGATCAGCTGGGGACTCCGCAACTGACCACAGGTTCCATGGGGCATTTCCCCAGAACCCAAAGTCAGCTGGGAACTCCCCATCTGATCCTGGGTTCCACGGAAATGTCGCGCTGGAGCCTGGGATTAGCTGGGGAGTCCCCACGTGGCAGTGCCGCACAGCTGATCCCGGGCTCAGCTGTGCAGTGCTGCCTCTTTGAAGTACCCCCCTTTTCCCCTCCTTGCTGCTTCTATCTGGTGGAGGCTGTGTGTATGGGTGTGTGTGTGGGGGGGGGGGGGGGAATCGACTAGTCTTTAACATCCCTACCTCATGCATCTGCCTCCAAACAGATTAGTCATCTAAAAATATTTTATTTTAAGAGACTATTGGGAGGAGATCTGACTGCAGCTATCCTAGAAAATCTGGGCTTGTGTTTCCAGGCTTCCACAGTTCCACGTGAAGGTGCTGTGTGCTTTGCAAGGTCACATGGCTGGGAATGGTGCCATATAGACAGGGTTGTATTTATTTACCACTCTTTCTCACCACTCCAGTCTCTCGAGATGATGTGGAGGGTCTTCTGCTGATGGAAGAGGAAGGGCCCTTGGATCTCATCAGCTTTCAGCCAACAGACAGTGATATCCCCAGCTTCCTGGAGGACTGCAACAGGGTGAATGTGTATTTTCTCCTTTGAGTGCTTGCTCATATTCCTTCCATGTTAGCTGTGTGCTCATCATCCACACAGGTGCCAGAAGTTTTTCTCTCAATAGGAGACCTGTTCTGGAGTTCCCTGGGGTGGCACCTGTGTGGCATGATATTAGGAGAGCTACAACTCGCCCATACTTCAGTTCCTTCTTACCACCAGTGACTGTGCATGGAACACATCTTTACTCTAGGAAAGTTTTGCCTTGCGCTGTTCATTTGAGCTTTACTGTGTATAGCTTAGTTTTAGTCGTTTTCCTTCCCTTAGTGTGTAGGTGAAGTTAGTAAGTCCCCATGAAGTGTGCATCACCCACAAGAGGGTGCAAACCGGAGGAGCATTTGGCCCGGAAACCTCAGTATCGGGTGCATCGTAGCAGTATATCCTCTGTGCAGACTTACACTTGTGAGATCTGTCATTGCGAGGATGGGTGCTGATCTCCAGTGTATGGATCCATGACTTCACCCAGCACATTTTGTCCCAGCAACACACATGGTCCCAATCCCACTCATGACACCAATAGTCAAGCATTCAGCATTACGGTTTAACAGTTATTTCGAGAGAAGGGTTTTCTTTCGAAATAACACTGCTACACGGGGCGTTTTATTTCACAATAATGCGATCTCAAAATGGCGGCCGGACGCGATTATGCTCATTAAGCGTGGGATATTTAAATCCCGCGCTTCAGTAGCAATTTCAGTACACTACATTTGCATCCCTATCTCAAGATAGGGAGCAAGTGTAGACGTACCCTATGAGTGCCAGGAGATTAAGGAGTTGAGATGAACTGTGTTTATAGAACTGCCCAGGAGGATGGAAGGAGAAACTAGGCTTATCTCTTTCCTTCTGGAGTCCCTACCCTTCCTCCTCCAAGTGTGTGTTGAGGGACGTGCTTGGCAGTCTATGCTGTCAGGAAACAACTTCTCCCTCCCCCATCTTGGGCTGTAGCAGGTCCTGTTGGAGCAGATCAATGACTGGGAATTGCTGCTTTTCTACAGCAGAAGGCCTTATGGCTCTCTCAAGTTTGGGAGATGGCACGTAGCTTTACTGGCCTCTTAGAGACGTACACATAAAACCACTCCAGTATTTTAGAAAATGAACACTTACCCTTTTTAAATTTCAGGGGGGTTGCACTGAAATACCCCCTCCTATCCATGCACTAGGAGACAACAGAGTCCCTAAGACCCTGGCAAATCCTTGCACAGGAGGAGGTACCCTTCTCTCACTGGCTCAGTCTCTATTGCCACCTTCTCTCTGGAGCCAATCCCCCCATTCCTTTTTTCACGTTCATATCTCGCTTCCGCTCCATCAAACAGCCTCTCTCTCTTCCGCTCATCCCTGGCCGTTCCCTTCCCTGTGGGGGCAGCCCTTATGCAAAGTGGTTCCTTTGGCCCAGGAAGGCGAGCTCCAGCAGCAGGGTTAGCCTGACATCCACTCTGGACCAGGGGCTGCCCATGAACCTAGGCAGACTAGGCAGTTGCCTAGGGTGCCACCGGCCTGGGCGCCTGATGATGACATCACAGGGAGCCGGGATGCCCCGTGATTACATCACGGCCATTGACGGCCAAGCAGGCAGGGGCGCCAATCACGTCTTCTGCCTAGGGTGCCAGCTGCCGCAGCCGGCCTTGGGCCGCTCCTGCTCTGGACTCTGTTGGTTGTCCTGGACTGATGATCTGAGTTGAGCGGAGTGATTCGATCTCTTTCTAATGCAATGTCTGAATCAGCATTCTGGCTGGATTGTCAAATGCTCCAAGGGGCAAATAGTGAATCATGGGGGAGAGCATGTGCCACTTGGCATGTGAATTGCAAGGTCATGCTTCATCAGGAGCCTTGTTTTACTTTCTCTTAAGAAAGCCAAGCTCTCTTCCTGTGGACAACAGTTTAAGCCTGACCCTGCAATCACAGGATATTAATTTACGATTTTTCTTCTGCTTCCTTAATCTTGTTCTTCTTTC